GACATGATTACTCATAGTCCTAGCAGAGTCCTGGGCCAGCCTTCAGGGCCAAAAATCAAAAGGGTAAGGGGAGCAGGTGGAAGAAAGTTCTGGGCTACAAACATTTTTCCATTAAAAATGCTGTGAAGCTACCTGGGACAGTAGTATAAAGGAGTACAGTTCCACTTATTTTGGTGGTGGGGGCTGGGTATATATGTGTGTACACACACACACACACACACACACGAAACCATTAAGAGATCTAAGGACAACGAGATATACCTGGTGGTTAAGAGAGCATATTCAAGATAATTGTAGGAGAGAACAAAGAAAATGAGTATTTGAAGACTATGACAGATTTCTAAGAGAACTTCAAATTTAAAAAAAAAACAAAACTTGAAATGTTTCAGAGAAATAACGACTTACATGGAAGACAGATTACTTACAGGCACAATATAATGAGGAATAGGAAGTACAACCGTTTGGTATATGTAGCATAGGAATTCAGAAAAATAAGAAACCTGAAGTCCACTGAAGTGTAGCGCATGCGTACATTGAGTTTTAAAATATTCTATAAATATAAAATATTGTTGTTATACAAGCTATATATTATTCTTAGAATACGTTATTGGCAGTCCAGTAATAGCACTTCTTAAGTCTTCTTCAAGTGAGTTCTTTTTTGTTCTTTTTTTTTTAAGTTCTGAAGTAAAACCATGATTCTTATTTCAGATAATATTTTATAAAAACGGTGTCAATCAAGGTGTGGCTTACAAAGATATTTTTGAAGGAGTTTACTTTCCAGCCATTTCACTGTACAAGAGCTGCACGGTATGTATTGTGTATTCATCCTCTGAACAGAATTTGAGGGAAGTATTTTCAATAGGTTGTGATGATAGAGCCATTGAGCTGGATGCATATAATCCCAGCTACTCAGGAAGCTGAGGCAGGAGGATCATTAATTCGAGGCCAGCCTCAGCAACTTAGTGAGGTTGTAAGCAACTTAGCAAGACCCTGTCTCAAAACGAAAATAAAAAGAACTGGGGATGTAGCTTTCAGTGATAGAGCACTTCCCCAGCATGTGTGAGGCCCTAGTTTCATTCCCCAGCACCAAAAAACAAAAATTAAAAAACTGTTCCAAAAACACTTGAGGTTTTAGGAAGTATTTGCTTGTGTAGATAAACATCATGCAATTAGTGTGTACTTTACTTTTCCTTTGAATACACTGTGTGGGATCCTTTTTCATTGTAAAGAATGTAAGTTGCCAGGCACTGTGGTCTGTAATCCCACCAGCTTGGGAGGCTAAGGCAAGAGGATTGTTGAGTTCAAAGCCAGCTTCAGCAATTTAGTGAGAACCCTATCTCTAAACAAAATATTAAAAGGGCAGGGGATGTCGCTTACTGGTAGAGCACTCCGGGGTTAAAACCCCAGTACTCACCCAATAAAACAAAAACCATTATACATGCATAAATCAGTTTAGAGTAGCTATTATACTTTAAAAAAAAAAAAAAAAAGATGATCCATCATGAAGAGATTATCATTAGATCATTAGCACTAGTTTGTTTTAAAACTTAACGTGGAGGGGCTGGGGACGTGGCTCAAGCGGTAGCGCGCTTGCCTGGCATGCGTGCGGCCCAGGTTCGATCCTCAGCACCACATACAAACAAAGATGTTGTGTCCGCCGAGAAATAAAAAAAAAAATAAAATATTAAAAAAAAAAAAAAAGCCCCCTCTTCCTGATGATGGGCAGAATCATAGCCTCTGGGACAGGAGTCCCCTGTGCTTCTCCTTTGCTAACAAAGCAATAAACTTCCTTTAAAAAAAAAAAAAAAAAACTTAACATGGAAATTTCTACTTTTTTTGTTTGTTTGTGGGTAGCTATCCTTGAAGAAGATAAAATAAAGAAATCTTAGGTTTTGTTTTGTTTTGTCCTAGAGATTGAATCCAGAGACACTTTACCCCTGAGTTGTATCTCTTGACCTTTTCATTTTTTTATTTTGAGACAGAGCCTTGCCAAGTTCCTGAGAGTTGCTCAGGTAAATTTGCAATCCTCCTGCCTCAACCTTCCCAGTGTCTGGGATTATGGGTGTGTTCCAGTGCACCCAGCTGTTTTCACCTAATTTTTTATGTAATTTGGATATTGATAACTTTTAGCAATGCTAATGCATCTCACTTGTTCCATTAATACCCTGAGTATATACATTTAAAGTGAAAAATTTGCCATATCATATTAACTTTCCAATATTTTATTTATATTTTCCATGCCTGATTGAATTAAATTCACTCCAGGTTTCCATTAACTTTGGACCATGCTTCAAGTATCCTCCAAAGGATCTCACTTACCACCCTGTAAGTAATAGTAAAATGTGTGCATGCATCCTCAGCATCTTTATTTCTTTCTGTGGCTCTTTTAATCACCCTTTTTCTTATTTCTCCTGCAGATGAGTGACATGGGCTGGGGTGCTGTGGTAGAACACACTCTGGCTGATGTCTTATATCATGTGGAGACAGAAGTGGATGGAAGGCGCAGTCCCCCCTGGGAACCTTGACCATTCTTCTTTTTTTCCAGACACAGACTTTCTGGGGAATAAGACCAGGGTTTTTATTTTTGTTTTCTGTCAGATATTCTCCCAAAGATGCTACAGAACACAGCCTCTATTTTCAGCAAGTTAAAAGGCTGAGTAGGCTGCGGGAGACCCCTACCCTTCAACATTCCCTGCCCACTTCCAGTGACTCTTCTTGTTTTGTGTGCCATAAACAACTTGTGACCCCAGGATCCCACAAGCTCCCTGTAAAACTGGTGCTCTTCCACATCCCTGTCAGCTGGGACTTACTACCTTACTGTTTTTTCTAAGGAGTAAATAATAATCTTGTCCAAGTAGCTAACTTAAGACATTTTCTCCTGTGGGCATTGACTCCATCCCACTTGATTTCCATGGAGATGTTGAGCCTGTTTATGAGAGGAGCTTAAATCAGTGGCTGTATATTTCAAACCAATCTAAAAGCTATTTCCTTTTGGTGTGGGTTTGGTTATTAATTTTGAAATAACTTTTTCAATACTGGGATCTCTGAAACTCCTGGGTCTCTAGAACTGTAATGTTGAAATAAACTTGCCTGCAGCTTTAACACAATTAGAACTATTCCCCAATAAAACTTGTTTCCAGGTTTGTGAGGTACTTGGCTTCCCTTCAGGTTGGGTTCCTCTCTGTGACAATGTCAGAAATGTGGGTAATATTAGGAAGGGGAGCCAGTACTGGAAGGAAGAGTTGGGTTTCTGATTTATATCTCAATCCTTCTTCTATTGCTGCTCCTATTCTCAACAGCCAAATCAAGTCTCCCCTTTGTCCTATTAAAATTATAATCTTGGGGTGAATAGGAGTTTACAAGGTCTGTAAAAATCCCCCCTCCAGCTCTTCTTTTTGAACATGATATTGGGGGCTGGGGATATGACTCACGTGGTAGAGTGCTTGCCTCACATGCACAAGGCCCTGGGTTCAGTCCCCAGCACCATCATAAAACAAACTTTTTGAACATGATGTTGATATGTGCAGGTTTTTTTCCTGCCTTATCTTCATTCCTAAAAAAGTGCAGTTTTTAAACTCCTTAAAGCTAAAAGATAAGAATGAGTCTTCCTTTGGGTATCCATGTGTGTGTGTGTGTGTGTGTGTTTTTTGGTGGTGGTGGTGGTGGTGGTACCAGGGTTTGAATGCGAGGGCACTTTATCACTGAGTTACATCCCCAGCCTTTTACATTTCTTATTTTGTGACAAGAGTCTGAACTGCTAAGGCTGACCTTTAAGTTGTGATCCTCTCATTTCAGCCTCTTGAGTAGCTGGGATTACTGACATGTACCACTGCAACTGACCCGTCTTTTTAAACATGTCAGTGTTGTAGCAAATGTAGTTCCCAGGATTTCCCAAAGACTGATGCATGTGAATTTCAACCTAGATTATCAAATAGAGCTGTTCACTAGGACATAGGTGATATGTTGCCACAGCATCACCATGTATCATGACTCTTGCTTTTCTGAATATCTTTTTATTTCCCTGTTAAGAAATTCCCCAAGTTGCCAGGCACAGTGGTGCACACCTATGATCCTAGCAACTCTCCGGAGGCTGAGGAAGGAGGATGGCAAGTTCAAAGCCAACCTCAGCAAATTGATGAGACCCTAAGCAACTTAGACTCTGTCTCAAAATAAAAAGGTCTGGGAATGTGGCTCAGTGGCTAAGTGTCCCTGGGTTCGATCCCTGGTACTGTAAATAAATAAGAAAGAAATTCCCTAAGTTTCAAATGAGTATTGATATCTTAACACAGTGATGTTGACTAAACATATTTGTCTTCTAATGAATCACACAGGTTTTTTGTTTTGTCCATTTGTATCTTAACAGGAAACCTAACACAGAGTCAGTATGGTTATAGGCTGGGGTCTCAGCCTATCAGATTTTATCAGTTTGGTCTTAAAAGGACAGATCTGGTTATAAAGTTTTTAGATCATCAGAGTTTGAAGGACTCTAAGAAACTGAGGGTGATATTATTTAGAGGAAGCTAGAGGTAAAGTTTTTGTAATATATGACCATATATAAGTTATACACCCACTCTTCTAAATTTTAAGATTAGGTTTTTGTATATTTGACTTTCATAAATTGGAGATTATAGAAATAGTGAATTTCTTATTAATACTTCATATTCAAAAGAGTTTGTGGTGTGTGTGTGTGTGTGTGCATGGTGCATGCTTTTTTTGCTTTTTTGTTTTTCTTTTTTTTTTTTGGTACTGGGGTTTGAGATTGCGCGGGCACTTTACCACTGAATTACATCCCCAGCCTTTTGCATTTTTTATTTTGTGACAGAGTCTGAACTGCTGAGGCTGACCTTTAAATTGTGATCCTCTCATCTCAGCTTCTTGAGTAGCTGGGATTACTGACATGTACCACCACCACTGGCCCTGTCTTCAAATTAACATGAGTTCATTTGAAGGCTTCAATGACTACTTCTCATCTGTTTTGTCTCACATAGTTCACAATCATATCAGTGACAACTTATTTTATTTCAATGTAAATTTAAGTGGGAAAATCTTTCCCTAGACATCACAAAGACATAGTTACATTGTTTGAAAGAACAAACTGTAATCCATTTTAAAACCATGGTGTTTGTTGAAAGCTCATTTCTTTACTGTCCATCTATTCTCTTGAAACCAGTGCCCGTATTGTTTCAGCATATCTTTAAGCAAGTAACTGTTTTCTCTTGGTTGGTGGTGAGAGACTGTATTGTAGAAATACTCCTCTACAATTGTCCTCCCTCTTTAAAGCTCCTGGATAAACAGCAATTTCATCTATGCCAAAAATGGACTAAGAAACAATCAGAATAAATTATAATAAATATCAGTTGTTAAATTTTAATACCTCAATAAATACTAGTGTTCCCACTGCTGCTATTTTGTTTAATAAATAAACTAAATCTCTATTTCCAGATGGTGCAAGTCATCCATGCTATTAAACCTAGATGGAAATGCTTCAGGTGGTAATGGTTGGTTTTTCACTCTATTTATATGTAATAAGATAGTCCTATTTCAGTTTTTTGTTTTGTTTTTTGTAGATGGACACAATGCCTTTATTTAATTTATTTTTATGTGGTGCTGAGTATCAAACCCTCAAACCCAGTGCCTCACACATGCTAGACGAACACACTACCACTGAGCTACACCCCCAACCCCTCAGTTTATAATTTCTCTCTTTGGGGCTGGGTTGTGGCTCATTGGTAGAGTGCTTGCCTGGCATATATGAGGCACTGGGCTCAATTCTCAGCACCACATAAAAATAAACAAATAAAGGTCCAACAACAACTAATAAAATATTTATTAAAAAAAGTAATTTCTCTAAATCCTGGAAAAGGGAATTTTCTATCACCATGTTACCCCTTCTTCCATGAAAATTAAATTTTAATGAAAAATTCTGGTAACAAAATTATCAAATTATCTAAATCTCCTGTAGTTTCTTTCCTTTTAATGAGATTTAGTTTAATTTAAAGTCTTTGTCCTGGACTCTTATAATATCAAGTTGTAATCTACTTTTTATAGAATAGAACTTTAAAACGAGTACAGACTGAAGTTTTCATGTTGTGATTCTTTATTCTGACTGGTACATATGAAATAAGTAGGGAAACCAGTCTCATTATTAGTTTTATATTTTTCCATTGAGGAAACTGGGAATATACTTCTGGAAGATACCTTCTGTGGTGAATTGCTTATTCTTTGGTGTATCCCTGTGCCTTGTTGGTGGAAGAGCAAAGAGCCCATGTGTAGGGCTCTGCATTGTTCACACACTCCTGCAGGGAATGGAGTTCTTGAGCCCATAAAACCAGTCCCTAATTTAGCAGCTCCCACATCCATACCAGCCAGTAGGATTCACAGATATTTTTAGGTGTGTGTATAAGGGCTCAAGTATCTTTCTTGGGAACCTTCTTTTTTCACAGCTAATCAGTAAATAGAGTTAGAAGTTTCTTCTTTATCATAGAGACTCATCTGATTTCTAATTTTTTTTTTTTTTTTTTTTTTGGTGGTGGTGGTCCTGGGCATTAAACCCATGGGCTCTCAACCACTGAGCTACATTCCCCAACCCTTTTATTTTTTATTTTGAGATAAGATCTCACTAAATTGCAGAGGCTTGCTCAAACTCAGATCCTCCTGCCTCAGCCTTTCGAGTCCCTGGGATTACAGACAAGTGTCACTGCGCCTGGCTGCTTTGTAAAACTTTTACCAGTTTGAGTCGTAGTGTTATACTCTTCCACCCCCTCTGTTATTGCCAGATGAAGATCTTAAACAGACTTGCAGACTTTCAGCAGAAATTTTCCTGATCCGTGTGCAAGCCAAGGCAGAAACACATACTGGAACAGCATGCTGGTATTTAACACCGGGCTTCAGAGGCAGAGGTGGACTCCAGTCGTTTGCGCAGGTGATAGGCAAAATCCATCTGGGTCTGTGATAAGACTTGGTTGATGATACTCTTTGGCAGCCATCCCTGGAGAAGATAAAAGAGAATTTGGTCATCTTCTGGGTGGTGTGCTATTCCAGACACCTTGCACTCTATCACACACATGGGCTGCCTGGAACTTCATCTTCCAACTTTGTCTACAAGTGTAACCTTGGAAATGACCAGGGTCAAAGGATGGACTGCTTTGCTGCCTTATTGTCATCACAGTGTCAGAAGCACAGGATTTGCTGTCAAGACAGATATTAAGTTCTGTCTTCCCAACAGTTTTATTTTTTTGATACAGGGTCTTGCTAAGTTGCTTAGGACCTCACTAAGTTGCTGAGGCTGGCCTTGAACTTGCAATCCTCTTACCTCAGCCTCCTGAGTTGCTGGGATTATAGGTGTGTGTCACTATGCCCTATGCCCTGCCTAAGTTTCCTTCTCTCTAAAATTATGTTACTATACAATTGAAATTTGATAAGTGTCAGCCACTGCAGATTTTTGAGATGGTGGGATAGCATATAGGCCATCACTCAAGTCTCGTCCTAAGCAACTGTACTATCAAAAATGGAAGAGGCTTCTTTCTGTTATTATATGAGAGTGGGAAGAGCTCACTTTCCTTACTATCTCTAGCCCTGAGTCAACTCCCATACCCCTCACCTTGAGGTCAATACTGAGCAGCCAGGTGAGTTTGGTCTTGGAGGGACTTCCAGCCAGCGGATGAAGCACCATGCAAGTGGGACCTTGTTCAGCTCTGGTAAATGAAAAGTCAGGAGATGGATCAGTTCTTTCTTATGCTGACTATACTAGTCCCATTTCTGGAGTACCTTGTCTTTTTTTCTAATTCTTAGCAGGAAATACCCTTCTCCAAGGGTACTGACTTAACAGTTGACGTGGTTACTAACTCTTTAGAACAAGTTGTTGGTTGTAGCTGAAGCAGAACCTGGAGGCCTCCTATTGTGCCCTTTGGTTGCTAGACTGCAGGGAGGTCAAGGAAAGAATGCAGGGTGGTAGTACCATTAAGAAATTCAGGTGTCTATGGTGTTCTTTGGGGTGTGAATTATTTCAATATTTTAACCTCCAGTACCTACATACTTTAGAATACCAGCTGAACCTCAGTCTTACCCCTTGCTTTGGAAAATATTATGTTAAGGTTCAGAGACCGGAAAGTTGGGTTAGCTGTTGACATAGGGCCAATCTTGTCTTTTTCTCTCTGAGAATCTTATAAAAGGAAATTGAGGTTGGGGACCAAGGATTAGTTTCTTGGAATTGTGGGGTTTCAGACCATCACATATTAAAGTGAATGCCCATCAGCCTGTATAAAAGGGAAAGGAATTTTGGATGTGTTTGTTTTTGCAGTGCTGGGGATTCAACTCAGGGCCTTGTGCTTGCCAGACTAGCACTCTACCCACTAAGCTACATCCCCAGCCAGAGGAAAGGATTTTGAGGCTACTGCTAGTATTACCTGATAATACCTTTCTGCTCAGGCATCTCCCCAAAGTGTGTGGCTATGCCAGCTAGAACACAGGTAGAGCCTCTGCGTTTGGCACAACGCACATTCACAAAGTCACGGGGCCCCACGAGGTTTCCTGCTGCTTCTGCTGCCAACTCATGGGTAATAACTGTATCTTTTCCAATCTTCTGCAAGACCTACCAATCCATAAGGGAACCAGAATCATTAATTAGCTAGAGCTGAGGCTAAGCACCACCCACAGCTTGGGAACCCTTTTTGGCCCACATTTCAGACTGGGCCCTATTAGGTCCCTGCCACCCACACCTGGGTTTCCCTCACCTTGATCTCCTTGACATTTGGATTCCATTCTCCCGTTGCTTCCATGCGTTCCACAAGTTCTTCATAGAGCCTCTCCATGGGTTGGTCCACTATCACCTCCAGCCGGAACACCTTACCTACATCTGGAACCACCTTACTCAACACTTTGTCTCCATTTGCCTGCCAGAGAGAGTAGGTAGAGGTTAGAGCCTAAGTCGCAAATTATATCAGGCAAGGAAGGGAGGAGATCAGCAAAAGGAAGTCCAAGCTAAGCGCAAGGATACCTACCTGGACTGCTATCTGGCCTGGATAAAGATATAATCCCTGGTTCCACAAACTACACAACTGCCGAAGGCTGGAACAGGTTGCCTGCCTGCCTGCAGCCCTCTTCCCTCTTCTTTTTTGGTACTGGAAACAGCCCAGGACTGTACCACTAAGTTACACCCTCATCTATGTTGTTTTTTTTTTTTTTTTTTTTTTTTTTAAGTCGGAGTTGGACACAATACCTTTATTTTTATGTAGCACTAAAGATCAAACCCAGGGCCTTGCACGTGCTAGGCTAATGTTCTACCGTTGAGCCACACCTCAGCACCCACCCCACCAATCCTTTTTTTTTTTTTTTGAGACAGGGTCTTAAGTTGCTTAGGGCCTGGCTAAGTTTCTGAGGCAGGTTTCTAACTTGTGATCCTCCTCCCTAGTTGCTGGAATTATAAGTATGCACCACAGTGATTAGTTGACCCTTTTTTTTTTTTTTTTTGAGATGGAAGTGAATGTTGGCTAGGTCCAATTGACTTCAGAAGCTCAAAGATCCTGAAAGACCTAGGAGTGGGAAAAGTCTATGGCCAGCCATATATATGCAGTTTTGAGTGGGATTTTCAGATTTTTTAGTTCAATATCTTGTTTTAGATGTTAGCTTGGTTTAGTCATTACACAATGTAAATATCAAAACAGATTTAAGAAAGTTGCCCATGGTTAAATAGCAAATTATATACCTGAGATTTGAATCTCAAAATATTTGAAACCAAATTCAGTGGTCTGATGGTTCAATCCTTACAATGACAGTGTGACTTCCCAATATTTGAATCTACCAACCCTGATGAAAACTGAAGTGGTCAATTTTTCATAAGTTAAGTATCTTGTTTTCACACCAGAACGATGTGGGGCCAGAGGTCAGTGAACCCCTAGCTGCTAAGAGTAGTGCTGAGCCTAGATCCCAGACCTCAGGTTTCCTTTTTTTTTTTTTTTTTCCCCTCTTGTACCGGGTGTTGAACCCAGGAATTCTTTACCACTGAGTTGCATTCCCAATCCTTCTCATTTTGAGAGCGGGTCTTGCTAAATTGCTGGAGGTATTGCTAAGGTGCTGAGGCTGGCCGCAAACTTGAAATACTCCTGCTTTGGCCTCTTGAATTGCTGAGATTATAGGCATGTACCATGGGGTCCAGCAGATCCCAGGTTTTTTTTTCTTTCTTTTTTTTTTTTTTAAGTTAAGTGGATCTTGTATTTCGTTTATTTATTCATACACGGTGCTAAGGATCAAACCCAGGGCCTCACACATGCCAGGCAAGTGCTCTACCACTAGGCCACAACTCCATCCTGATCCCAGGTTTCTTGACTCCCAATCTATTAGCCTATTATCTACATTATTCTGAGAACTTGAGCAAGGAGAGGTTTCACCTGAACCTTGAGTAATGGGCAGCATGTAAGCTTTTGCTTAAGATAAAGCCACCAAGGTCTCCAGTGATAGAGCCACTGGACTTTAACACAAGCCTTGTTACCGACTGGCTTCCAGTTAGGGTGCTGTGCTCAGAGCAGAGAACTCCAGACAGCTAGTCCAGCCCACATTATCCCTGCAAGCTCATTAACATTAAAGATTCTGATGCTGGGTGATATGTCCTCTAATGCACAGCCAGTCCCTGCAGCATGTTTTTTCTAAATGGGTGTATATGTATTTGGAGGGTAGCTAAGAATATAAGGATAATGTTTCAAAAAATGAGTATTATGAGGAGAGAAAGTTATCTAAGGACATTCTTGGAAAAGGAGAAATCTCAAAACTACTTACTGCCCAGTAACTATTGCATGAAACAGGAAACCTGGGAGCGGTGGCCCCAGTGAAACAATAGTGAACAATTGTTTCACTTATAGTGAAACAATAAGGAACTGCAAAACCACCCTTACCTGCTGGGTTTCCTTCTTCCAACCCTCCTGGTTGCTGAGAATGCCCAGGGCCTTCTGCATGGCTTCCTCTCCCTGCTGGATATAGGCCAGCTCTTGGTCACTTATCTCTTCCAAACAAGAACCTGGATATACAGCCAAGGGTGGGGGGAGAATCCTTTCAGTGTCCCAGCCTCCCACCAAGTTAGCATCCTTTTGATTTCTGGATGTGCTTTTTCCACTGAAGAACCAAGACTAAAGCCAGAGGGTCCCATCTGGTGACCAGCAGGTGAACTGGTCTTGAGGAACTCCGGGATGGGAATATTCTCTCATAGTGGGAAAGGATAGGAGGGCATCAGAGCCCCATGCACATTTTCACCCTGGGGGGCCTCTTCCACTGACAGAAGCCCAGGAGCCTCAGCACTTACCAAGCAGAGAACTCCGACGCCGAACTTGGTTAATCCACACATTGGGGGTAGGGTTCCCCAGTGTTCTCCTCAGTTCTTGGCCAATGGCCAGAGCAGCTTGGTGTCTCAGCCCTACAGGGAGGGAAGGAAATTGTTGCCAAGGACCTGGAAAGCCCCTTCGGGAGGCATCATTCCACCCCGACCCTCCATTTGTCACAGACAATGAAATTGTCTTGGAGATCCAGTGACTTGATCAGAAACAGATTCCTAGTAGAGAACTGAACTAGGACCAGGTCTTCAATGCCTAATTCAGTAATTATACTTCAGGCACTTTCAGGGCCCAGAAATCTACTTTCCATCTGGGGTAGTCAAGCTTGGCCTTGTCAAGACGGGCTATATACCAGAGCATCTGGAGAATATTTGTTTAATCAGAAAAATCCAGCTACAGGAGAATACAAGAAACCCATCCCCTGGCCAGGTGTGGTGATTCCCACCTATAATCCCAGTGGCTCAGGAGGCTGAGATGGGAGGATCTCGAGTTCAAAGCCAGCCTCAGCAAAAAGCAAGGCACTAATGGGGCTGGGTTGTGGCTCAGTGGTAGAGCACTCAAACTAGCATGTGTGAGGTCTTAGGTTCGCTCCTCAGCACCACATAAATAAATGTATTCTGTCCATCTACAACTAAAAAATATTAAAAAAAAAAAAAAAAAAAAAGCAAGGCACTAAGCAACTCAGACCCTGTCTCAAAATACAAAATAGGGCTAGGGATGTAGCTCAGTGGTTGAGTGCCCCTGAGTTCAATCCCTGGTACTTGGAAAAAAAAACAAAAACAAAAAACTCGAGGGTCCCTTCATATCTGATGTCTGTGTACTTACTAGCAGATAGGACCCTTTTCATGAGGATGCTGCTTTGGGTGCCACCAGATTGTGAGCCAGGTAAATCCAGTCAATTTAGTGAGGGCAGCCCCACTTTGGGCTGCAGGGCTTTTAAGCAGTTTCCAACCTAATTCAACCTAGGATAATTTGAAAGGTCTCCTCTACATAGGCTTGTGTGACTTTCCATGGCAGCAGGGGATTTTTAATTTTGTTTGTTTGGTTCTTCCTGGCTGTATAATGATAACAAGACTGACATGACCTCCCCCATCCCTTCCAACTTCTCTCTTTACCTCACTCTTCTGCTGTCTTACTCCCCTTTTTCTTCTCATGCCCCTTCCCTGATAGAGTCTCAGGCTTACCAACATTGCTTGCTGGAATCAAGATTTATTTCTGCCTCTACCACTGTGGCCAAGACTTTTCTGGTACCCTTGATATAAGCCAGAAGGAAGGCATAGTCAGGAATAGTTGAAGTTAGTTGCATAAATGCACGCCAATAATCCCCGCTGTTTGGGAGGCTGAGGCAGAAGAATTGCGAGTTTGAGGCTGGCTTGGGCAATTTAGTAAGACCTAGTTTCAATTAAAAAGCGGGGGGGGGGTGCTGAGGATGTAATTCAGTATACTGCTTAGCATGTTTGAGGCCCTGGCTTCAATGCCTAGTACCAGCAAGGAAAAAACAAAAGTAGTTCAAGAACAATGAGAGCCCTGGAGGGAAAACTAGAAATTACAGAATCTGGGCAGGACATCTAGTCCAATTCTTCAGGTGGGACAACAGGTCTAGAGGGGGAAGAAATTTGCCCAGTCTCACTCAGTAAGAGGCACAACTGGGATCAGAGCCTTGGTGGTCTTTTTCCCTCTCCATGCCCCTCTCCATTATTTTTCTAACTAAACCAAGTTGCCTGAGAGTTTCTGGTAGGCGCCTTATGCCTTCTGCCCCTGGGGACTCACCCTTCATGTTGCGCATGTATCTGTAGGAGCTTCCAGCACACAGTTTGAAAGTTGCTAGTAGCATTGTTTTCTGGCAGATGTAGCAGTGCTGATGCTGCTGCCACTTCTGCTCTCAAAAGTGGCTTTTTGTTCCTCCACCTCTGGGTCCGTTCGGCAGCTGCAGCCTGGACCATTTGTTCTGCGCCTTAAATGCCTCCAGCTGAAGGTTGTGCTTCATCATCAGGAGATAAGAAAAAGCCATCACTCACTGTGCAGAGGACAGGGTCAAGGATACAGCGATTGCCTCATGCTGCTGCTCTGGTCATTGCTGGGGAGCGTTGGGGGGGAGTAGAGTACGCAAAAGGGAGTGGAGAGATTGGTGCCAGATTCAGTGGATGGAAGGGAAAACAGGTGGTTGAGATGGGGCAACTTACAATAGGACACACAGTGCTCAAAAGTTTTTAAAAGTTCTGTGAAGCCCCTCTGACTCGCAATTCAATAGGTCTGGAATTGAGGCAAAAAAAAATGTGCCCTGGCGATTGTAGTACAGGTATTTGGTGGACTGCCCACTGCACTTTGAGAAACACTGAGAGAGTGGACCCGGGAATCTTCGAAGAGAACAGCACAAGTCAAAGCTGCTGGAGACTAGACTCCTGTTCTTACAGATGAGAAGTTTGAGTCCAGAGGGCGGAAATGACTTGTGCAAGGTCAAACAGCTGGCCAGCAGCAGGACTGGGAGCATAACCCAAGTCCTCCAGCCTTTGAACATCTGTACATGCTTCCTCCTGTGGCCCCCTCCTGCATTCAGCTGTTCATTTTTTTGTTTATCCATTGATAGTTCCCACCTCTGCCATCCCTATTCTGAGTTATGCTAGAGCAAGAATGACACCTTGGGCTGAGTGGGGGATTCAGCGTGTAAGTTCCCAAAGCAGAGAGTAACCTGCACCTGGGCCACACCCTGCCCCCTTTCTCATGCTTCCCCTGAGCAGCTGAGGCTGTGTGGCTTGGAATGTGCAGAAAGATGGGATGTTTGTCCCAGTTTTCATAAACATTTTTGGGGGACTGTGATGCTAAGCAAGGACTCATGGGACCTCCAAGTTGCTTCTGCTGGGCCACACACCATCACTCAGCACAGTGAGGGAGATTCCCTCCAAGCCTGTATGCTGCTGATAAAATCTTTTCCCTTCAAGGGTGACCTTAAAGCTGCTATTAAGCCAGATTCACCTGGTAAGAATACTGTGAATAGAAAGACTCACACTAGATTTGCCCCTGGCTTAGGCCCTGCCTCCCTTGAGAGAGTTCTATATCGTGTCACCACTGCTCACAGGCAGGAGAGAGCCTAAAAGCAGAAGCAGCAGCTCCAGTAGATCTACTCTCTCCGTGTGCCTTACTGTAGAGAACGATAAGGCAAGATCTGCCCAGATTTCAACTCTGGTGAAGTGGTAGGAGAGGTCCTATGAGCAGTGGCTGGCTGGCAGCACCCACCCCATTCCTCAAGGCCCATTGCAGCCCCTCCTCCTCTGCTAAGCCTCCTTTAAGCACCCCAACCTTCAAGAATGGCTCATTCCTGTGGTGCACACCACAGGAGGGAATGACTCTGAGACATCATTGTTTGCTTGTTTTCTTTGTGGAACTGTTATCTCAGAGGCAGGCACCATGTCCACTTCCCCACTCAGATCCTGCCCCTGGTCCTAGCACTCAGCTCCAGGGCAGACAAAGAGTGGATTATTGCTTCTCTGTTAAGTGACCAATTGGGGAAGCAGCTAGCAGCACAGGTGCATCTGTCCTGCATGTGAGGCAAACACTCTGCCAACTGAGCTATAGCCCCAGCCCCAAGTGCATCTTTTGATTTAGGAAACCTGCCTTGGAGGCATTGTTTCCTTGAAGAGTTTCAGGGAAGCTGTTTGTCTCCATCTTGGTCTCAGGCTGTCTGCCTTTCGAAGGAAAGATGCAGAGAGTGTGCTGGGCAGGCTGGAGGGCCAATATCCCCAGCTTCTCTCTATTCACCACTCAGTACACGTGCAGCCTCATGCACACGTTTGCCTTCCGTCAGGGGAGGTGGTGGGGAGTGGGAAGGGGGTTATGGAATAGGCCACGCAGATAATGTTCAAGGCCCTGCTGTTGCCATCCTGTGAAGAATTATGGTCATTCTGAGGAAGGAGGAGGTGGTGTGGGGAGGCTGGAGCACCGAGGCATATAACTGTTGCTGATGTCAGAGGTTGCCATTGACTCAGGGAGGGCGGGCTGAGTGACCTCCCCCAGTGCCAAGGCCCTCTTCCTCTCTTCATCCTTTCCAAGCCAAATGACTAGTTAACTCTTGCTGTCCCTCCAAACAGTAAGATGGGGAGGGAGGCCTAGGAATTTCCTCTGCTTCTGGAAATCACTTGAATCCAGTTCTGCCTTTGGATGAGGGCAGAGCTTCCCAGGAAGACCAGAGCAACACAGCAGATCAGAAAGGAGGACAGCCAGAGACCTGGCTTAATTGTAAAGTGCCCAGGTGGAAGACACCAGGGCCTAGGGGGAGAGGCAGGGCTTTGGAACAAAAAAGGGGATTCCCTCATTCATTCAGTCAACAATCCTATATTGAACGTCCACTATGTAGCTCTACAATTAGGACCCTATGAATTGGACCTTATGATCCAGAATGAATAATTGTACTGCAGATAAGCTGTTTGTGAAGTACCTAATTCCAGGAGGAAGGGAGAAGTACAATGGAAGGCTTCTGGGAAGAAGTGACGTTTGAGTTGAGTCTGGAAAGTATAATAGCCAGGTTTATGCTGTGGGTTGGAGATAGAGGGTACAAATGTGAACTTTATATGGATCTTTTTTTAATATTTATTTTTTGTTATAGGTGAACATAATATCTTTATTTTTTATATTTTTATGTAGTGCTGAGGATCGAACCCAGTGCCTCACACATGGTAGGCGAGCGCTCTACCTTTGAGCCACAACCCCAGCCCCTACATGGATCTTTAAACTCTGTGAGTGTGGGGATCATTTCCTACCAGTTTTTAAATCCCTAGTGCTTAGCATAATGCAGTTTAATTAATAGCTACTATATACATGTTTAGTAAATGTTTGAAAAGCAATGAAACTGACACTGTAGATTTTCAAGAGATCCTGGTATTCTTTTATTTTTAAAGGGTGGCCAGCCTGGAGATGAGAGTGAATCCTGGACTATATGCAGGCTCCATGCCTATTTAATATTAGAAGAATGGAGGGCTTCCCAAAGGAGTCACTGTGAAAAGGCAGCGGAGTTCAGGAAAATCAATAAGGAATGTTACTTCAGGCTTGAGATAATTAAGGGTTACCTGCCCCCATATAGTATATTTTCCTGCATTTCAGCTTTTACATTCCTTAATTTAAGTTGGTCTCCAGTATTTCATAGGTATCATCCTTATTTGTAGAAAGGAGGCTGCAAGTTCACTGAAAGCAGGGAATATCCCAGTACATCCTAGGAGTCTGGCAAGGCCTGGGGACTATGCAGATCATGAAAGTGAACGTTGAACACTCTTTCTGACTGAGGCACTATGTTGAGGGATGGGAGTGCTGGTGATTGAACCCAGGTCCTTGAGCATGCTCCACCACTGAGCCACACCCCAGCCATGTCAGGCTCTATTCTAAGCTCTTCACACACATATATAAACTCATTTGATCCTTGTAACAACCCAGGAAGTTGGTACTATTATTATGTTTTGGGGGGTACTGGGGATTGAACCCAGGGGCACTTTACCACTGAGCTATATAGCCCCAGCCCTTTTTTATTTTGGAGATGAGGTCTTGCTAAGTTGCATAGGGACTCACTAGGGTGCTAGGCTGGCCTTGAACTCATGATCCTTCTACCTCAGCCTCCAAAGTCACTGGGATTATAGGAATGTTGTACCACCCTTGGCTTATTACTCCTACTTTATAGATGACGAAAGCAAGGCACTGAGAGGCTATGCAACTTGGCCAAGTTCAAAGAGCTAAAAGAGAAGGAACTAGGATGCAGAACCAGGCTCTAGTCTGTGCTCTTGGTTATACTGTTTAACTTTTTGAAATCATGTTTCTCTCTCTAAAAAGTAGGGCTAATACTAGCTTCTCATGGCATATGCCTGGCTAGCATATAATGGTCTCTCAGCTAATTTTAAAATGGTGGGGGACTCACTCAACTATTAATTTATGTTAGAGTCCCCTGTTTCCCACTTCATAGACCATTTCAAGCAGATAAGCTAGACTTCAGATTTCCTTTTCCAGGGATTTTGGTAGAAGATTTCGGTCTTTTGTAATGACCAGAAGAGCAAACTTGTGACCTAGAAAAATTTGAATTAGCTGCCAACATACACCACAGCCACAGAAAACAGAGCAGTGCTTTTCTAGGGGCTAGAAAAGGAAGGAAGGAGTTAAGTACAGTGGGCAAGGATGTGTGAAAATATTCTCTGGATGATGGTAGTGGTTACATAGCTGCAGTCAGTTAAACTTTTTTGGTGTTGGAACTATACACTAAAAAGAGTGAATTTGGGCTGGGGTTGAGGCTCAGTGGTAGAGCGCTTGCCTAGCATGTGTGAGATACTGGGTTTGATTCTTAGCACCACATATAAATAAATGAATAAAATAAAGGCCTATCAATAGCTAAAAAAAATACGAAGAGTGAATTTTACTGTATGTAAATTATAACTTAATAAACCTGACCAGGAAAAAAACTTGGGTTTTAGAAGTAGTTTCACAGACCATCTGGATTCTTGACCTTGAGATCTGCCCAGCTTATGGCCCTCTTTCTTCCACTTGGCCCCAGCTACTGGTTGCTTAGGCCTTGACACACCACTCAGTTCTCAATATTTTCAAAGCAAGAATATTTGAGGCTACTTTCCTCCCTGGTTTTGGCCAAATGGCAGCAACCACTGATGAGTGGCTGGAGTTAGGCCTCTGGTGGTAGTGGGGGATGGTCATGGGTAAGGACAACTGTAGAAGGACTATGGGAAGAAGAGAGGCAAAATAATGAAGTGAGATGGGAGAAGAGAAAAGAAGTACTTGGTTTTATCGTTTCCCAGTAACCCTGGCAGAACCTGGGGGTTATACAGGCAGGGAATCCAATCCTCTCCACGGTAGACTGACATGAGCTTTGAGAGCAGCAGATGTGCTCCATTTTCTAGGGTTGGTTTTCCAGTTCCTTCATGAAGAGAGGATAATGAAATCTATCACAAGCTTTCCCCCCCCCCCCCCCTTCTTCTTCGCTTTTTGTGATGCTGGGAAATCAAACCCTGGGCCTTGTACATGCTAGGTAAGCACTTTACCACTGAGTTACATTCTTCAGCCCTTGTTTTTTTTTTTTTAGAGAATTTTTAGTATTTATTTTTTAGTTTTTGGCGGACACAACATCTTTGTATGTGGTGCTGAGGATCGAACCCAGGCCGCACGCACGCCAGGCGAGCGCGCTACCGCTTGAGCCACATCCCCAGTCCCTGTTTTTTGTTTTTAAGATGGTGGTCTTGCCATGTTGCCCAGGCTGATCTGGAGCTTCTAGGCTCAGCTGATCCTCCCACCTCAGCCTGCTGTGTAACTGGGACTATAAGCACATTACACCACACCCAGTTTAAAATTTACTTTTGAGTCAGGTATAGTGGCACTTGCCTATAATCCCAGCAACTGGAGAGGCTGAGGCAGCAGGACTGCAACCTTGAGGCCAGCTTTAGCAACTTAGCAAGACCCTGTTTCAAAATTAAAAAAAGGACAGGGGATATAGCTCAGTGGTAAAGTACCCTATGGGTTCAATCACCAGTACCAAAAAACACCCCAAAACAACAAGAAAATTACTTTTGGTCTTGGGCCACATAGGTGGATACAAGATTTGCTTAATTGGGCAAAGCAAGTACCCATGAAGCAGTCTTTTGCTTCAATATCCAGGGAGACCTCTGGAGGGATGACATGTAAGACTGGGGTGGGGAGTGCAGTCCAGTTCCACCTGAAAGGCAGTTAGGAGGAAAACAGGCAGAAGAGCATCTCTACTTTCGTAGCTCTGAGAAGCGCTCCCAACCCTAACTCCATGTTTCTCTGGGATGCTTTTCCTGACATTTCTACACCAATTATCTCCAAGCTCTTCACACTTGAGGGCAGTGGCCTTCAGTAAAGGCAGCCCCCACAGCATGGAAACATCTCCACATTCGTTGTTAGAATCTCTACTAATGACTCAACTTCTGGTTGCTCAATGGTCCAGCTGTCCTCACCTTTTGGTTCCCTACTGGTCACTGAAACATCCTAGTTGGCCAGCCTGAACTTTCTGAATGTTCCCCTTCATCTGTCTGCCCATCCATCTATCCATCCATTCTTCAATTCAAGAAATATACACTGAGATCTAATATGACACCAGGCATCATTCTAGATAACTGGAAGCAGATAATAATCAAGTTAAAAAAAATTGGGGGGAGAAGTAATGGGGATTGAACCCAGGGGTGCATAACCACTGAACCATATCCCCAGC